CAAACACCTTCCACCAGGCATTGCCTCTTAAAGGCGCCACCACCTTCCAACACTGGCACACCGACTTCCAGCAATTGGACCTTTAGGTACAAGCCAATCCAAGCCATAGCAACAAGCAAGCGGAGCTACGGCTGGCTGCCGCCCCCCTGCTCCCTGTTCCCCGCACCTCCTCCTCCTGTCTCCACCCCCTTCATGCCTTAGCAGCGCGTACTGCAGCCTCCAGGCCTCCTGAAACTTCCCTACTAGTTCCTAGAAGTGCCTGACACGGGCGGCCAGGACACCTCCCCTTCCAAAGGCCCCTGGTCCTCTGGCATCTTTTAAAAGGATGAACCCACAGTTTGAGGGCGACAGATGAGAAGGCTGTTGTCCTCAGAAAATAGGATCTGGGCTGTCCCGCAGAGTGACAGTAATTAGAGGCCTCCTAAAGAGCCCAGCTAAATAAACAGCTTTACTAGTAATGAGCCAGCTGCCAGCCGGCAGCTTGTAACCCAATGTGGGTGGGCTCTGGGCTGCTGTATGTGCTGCCCTCCAAGCGGGGTCCTTCTACAGGAAGTGGAACGGACCATGTCTGTCCTCAGCTGCAGATGTGACTCAGCCTGGGCAGCCCCTCCCCAGGCCTCCCCCAGATCAGCCCCAGGGAAGTGGTCTCCTCAGACAGGACTCAGCAGACAGGAGGTGGTTTGGACCATGACCGGAAGCGGCCCGTTTTCCTGGCTGCCAAAATCCCAAGAGACTTGATGAGCCAGAAGCTGGGAAGGAAGTGGTGGAGAGATGCGGGTGAGGGAATAGGAAGCAACGGCTGAGTTGGATTTGGCCTCTGTGATGACCTTAATGGTATCACTGAGTCCAGCAGACCATGGTGGCAGTCGGGGAGCCGGGAGTTTAAAATCCTTACCGTTTTTTGTTTGTGGGGACCTCAAGCAAATCACTGAAGTTTTTCTGAACCTGTAAAACCCAAGCACAGTGACACCTAGTTCCTAGGGCTCCTTCAAAAGGAAAGCAAGGTCAAGAGCACAAAAGGAAGGAGCACAAGGCCAGGCACCTTGCTAACGGGAGGTGACATCAACTTCCTTCCCTCCCTCCCTCCCTCCCTCCCTTTATATCTCAAGAATGCAGGACTTATTGGCTCCTCAGCAAAAGCAAGACACTCAGAGCCACTCAGAGGGTGACAGGGCTTTGCCAGGGGCCTCCTGGGCCACTCAGACCTACTCAGCTAACAGGGATGAGAATTTCATTAAGATGAGGGAAAGCACTCTGCTGGCGCCTAAGCAGTACTCCAACCACCCTGGGGCCGGCTGCTCCTGCTCACAGGACGTGTATAAGATGTGCCGCAGCACGGTGGGTCTGTGATCAGGGTGGAGGGTCCTGTGGATCGGTTGGTCATGCCTGCCCTGCAGAGCACCCGCCCCAGGTGTGAGAGCTCAGAGTGACAGAACTTTGAAAGGAAAAGGGACACGAAGACACACAGTGCCCTTCGGTGGCTGCCATCCAGGCCTCGGCCTCCAACCCTCTGAACGCCAGGGCGCTGCATCTGTCCCAGAGACACAGTCATCTCCACAGCCACTCCCCCTTCCTGGATACAAGGACACCCACAAAACCAGGTCCCCAGCTTTGTTTCTGTGTCCTGACCAAGAAACTCAGAGGTGCTAGACCACTCTGTGACAGGCCAGCTGCATGGGTCCCTGTAGGTTTAAACCTGAGTTAGGGCCCTGCGCAGGCTGTTGACTGAAACACTGAAAGGTCATCCAGACTGCTAACCATGCAGAAACCAGCCCTGGCCCCGAGCCAGACTCCTTAAACTCAAACTCCGAGTCCCAGCCCTCTGTCTTGTGCGTGCCTGGATGGACCTCACTGCGTAAGTCCCCTAATAAATGCCACGCACACATCACCCTGGCATTTGGTGCACCTTTCTTTTATTTTATTTATTTATTTATTTTTTTGTCTTTTTGAGACAGGGTCTTGCTATGCAATTCAGGCTGGCCTTGAGCTCACTTTGTAGCCCAGGCTGGCCTCGAACTCACAACAGTCCTCCTGCTTCCGCTTCCCGAGTGCTGGGATTACAGGCCTGAGCCACCATGCCCAGCTTGGTGCTCCTTTCTCTGGAATTGCAATGGCCCCATCTTGGGATGGTTTGAAACTCCCCTGCTGAAACTCCTCTGCAGCATTTGGGGGGTGACCCTAGACACACAGTTAAAAGGCCACGCTTGTGTTGGGGTGCAGCTCAGTGGTAGAGCCCTGGCCTAGCACGCAGGAGGCTCAGGGGCTGACCCCCAGTACTGCGATAAATAAATACGTAAATAAGAAGCTACATTTGCCAACCCCTGCATCTGGGTGTGACAAACCAAGGTGCTGGCAGGGCGGGTTCCTTCCAGAAGTTCCAGGTTTACAAAAAAAAAAAAAATCTGTTTTATTTATTTTCTAGCACCTAGAAGCCACCTGCAGCCCCCAGCTTGTGGCCTGTTCTCCAGCTTCAAAGCCAGGGTGTGGCATCTCCAAACTGCTGCCTCTCTCTCTGTTTCACTCCTCACCTCTCTGTCCCTGACTCTCTCTCTCCTAAGACCCTGTGATGGCCAGGGTCCCCAGCCTACCTGGATGATCCAGGGTCATCTCGCACCTCACTGCCCTTAACATCACCACATCTGCAAAACCCTTTCCTGCAGAAGTGGTGCATCCACAGGCCCCAAGGATTGGGGTGCAGACACCTTTGGGTGCTCAGTATCCACCCAATACAGCAACAGCTTTTTTTCTTCCCGGAGCTATAAAACTGGTACCTCTGTCCCTCCCGACCTTGCAGACAAGGACAACTAATAAACCTCTTGCTGTGGGGCTCTGCCGATGCCAGCACGCACCAGACTCTGCTCGGGTACCCCGACCCCGCAGGGGACACATGCCAGATCTCCTCCAAGGGCTTTCACACTACACTCTCTCTGGCCACAATGCCAGGACAAGCTGCCAGGATCTGCAGCTTAGCAAGAATCTGGCTGAGTGGCAAGCGATAGAGTTCAGCAGCACAAGCGCCTACCTGGAAAGTGCAAGGTCCTGAGTTTTATTCCTGGTACCAAAAAAAAAAAAAAAAGAATCTGGCTGAAGATGAGCAGTGGGGCTTTTTGACGCCTCCAACACTTCCCCAGTTCTGGGGATTCTCCTGGGGTACCACCGGGTGTGGGGCAAAGCTCTTACTGCAAAGCTCATTTTCCCAACAAGGCTGTGGATGGTCACAATGCCCTGTGTTTAGAGAGGACAGTGCCACTCAACAAGAGACCAGAAATGCTCATGGAAAGTTGCACAACAGAGCCGTGCACCACTGCACACCTATAATCCCAGCTGTTCAGGAGGCTGAGGCAAGAGGATCACAAGTTTGAGCCCAGTCTAGGCAATTTAGCAAGACTGTCTCAGAATAAAATTTCAAAAGGGCTAAGGATGTATCAGAGGTAGAGCACTGGCCTAGCATGTGGGAGACCCTGGGTTCCATCCCCAGTACTGGAAAAAATAAAAATTAATAAGCGAGATGTGTAACAAATCACCCTAGGTGGCAAAGGAAATGTCAGATAAGAACAACAGAGAGGGGCTGGGGATTTAGTTCAGCGGCACAGCGCACAGCGCCTGCCTGGCAAGTGTGAGATCGTGAGTTCGATTCCTGATACCAGAAAAAAAAAAAAAAAAAAGAACAGAGAACTGGGTGTAACCCCAGCACTCTAGACTGAGGCAGGACGATTGCCATAAGTTCAAGGCCAGGGTGGACTATATAGTGAGACCCTGTCTCAAAAAACAAAACAAATTTTTTTTTAAAATGCAAGCCAGGCGTGGTGGCGCACACCTGTAATCCCAGCACTCGGGAGGCTGAAGTAGGAAGATAGCGGCGAGTTCGAGGCCAGCCTGGGCTACAAAGTGAGTTCGAGGCCAGCCTGAATTGCACAGCGAGACCCTGCCTCAAAAAGACCAACAAAACAAAACAAAACAAAAAAAAACAACAAAAGAACGACAGCAAATTGACCATCACCACACCTGGACTGCAAGGACATGGTCTCTACTGAAGAGAGAAGATGCGCGATTGGGACCAGATGGCCAGAATGGGGTCCGCACGGGGCCGGAGGTGACATCACAGGCCCTCAGAGGAACAAGGCAGGTGGGGCCCGGCCCTGGAGAGCCTCGAGTGTCGAGTAAGAGCAGAAACTACACACAGGGCCACAGGCGCGTCAGGTGTTTTCTCCGGCCGTGGAGAAGTGTGCAGAACAGCCAGCAGGGGCTATTGGTTGCGCGTGCACGTGTGTATGCGTGTGTGAGCTCTTCTCACACGCCTCTCCACGCGTACTTAACTCGGCGGGATGCCATCTGATGAAGTAGAAATGTAGAAAGAGGAAAAGCAGTCGTTTGGACTATTCAGCGGCTCACAACGAGGACGAGGAAAGAAACCCAATCAAAGGAGCCTTTGTTTTCGACCCGACCTGCGATCAGTGCCACCACCCAGAGCCACCACCAGGGGGCAGGCGAGGGCCGCACAGTAGCAGGGTCTAACGTCGCCTGCCCACGACACCTTCCCGGCTTCCGGTAGCCTCACCCCAGCTGACTTTGGGAACTGTCCGTCCTCTACGCCAAGCGGCAAACTGTAGTACAGCAGAGCCAGGCGTGGTGACACAGGCCTGTAGTCTCAGCATTCGGGAGGCTGAGGCAGGAGGATCTTGAAATTCAAGCCCAACCCGGGCAATTTAGCCACTTAGTGAGACCCTGTGGGGGTGGGGGTGCTGGGGATGTAGATTAGTGCAAAGGCCATGGGTTCGATCCTGCCCCGCAAGAAAAGAAAGAACGAAAGAAGAAAAGAAGAAAAGAAATAGGATGTCCCTTATCCTCGAAGGTCCTCCCCACTAGCTGGAACTTCCGTTTCCTATCACCCTAGCTCGCCTGCCGCGGCCCCTTTAAGATGGCCTTGGATGACCCACGTTCTAAGAGAGGGCCCCTCTAGCTGCTGTCTCGATGGTAAGTCGCCACTTCCGGTAGGAAGTGCCTTTTAAGAGAGGGGGTGGTGTGCGTCCCGACACGTGGTCCAAAGGGTCGGGACGGGAACCTGCTGTCGCCTCCTGCAAGTCGCCGACCCTGCCCCGCAGGGCGATCGAGGTGGCTCTGGCGGAGGGTTCAGCTGTGACCGGCTCTAGGCGGTCGCGTGGGACACAGACCCACGTTCCCCCCGGAGACCGGTGCCCTGCGGCGGGACCGGAATTTCGCGGGCTCCTCCCTTAGCAACTGGGATCGGCCGGGAGACTCAGGAATTGGGCCGCGCGCCGCAGGCGACGTCGGCCTGAGGGATTGTGGGGCGGCGCGGGGCCCGCGGAGAAGCCCTCCGCGGCCCTGGCTTTGCCTGGGTCTTCTGGCCGGTGCAAGCCACGAATAAAACTGTCTTAAAGCACGTTTTATTACTCTTTTCCCCAGGGTTCCTCCAGGAAGTGAGAAATACCCAGCCTGCAGCAGATGGATGAGTCCTCCCGCAAGTGCCCCGAGTTCCGATGGCCCGGGTACGTCCAGCTTGGAGTCGGTGCCCTAAAGTGGGTGGATGGTCTGGGGAAAGGCTCCTGTGTTGCTGAACCCGCCCAGTGCTGGGTGCGGCCTCATACCGGGCAGCCCCACCCTGACCTAAAGTAAATTCCCAGGGCAGGTCTTCCCTGGGTTTTGAATTTGCAGTTACAGGTGTGAACATTCTAGCAGCAGTTTGATGATCATGTATGATACTGCAAACAGGCTCTTCCCTGAGAGGAGAAAAACATTTTGAATCAGAGAACAAACAAATAGTTTTCAAAATTCCGTGGACGGTATTGATGTCGTTTGTTTCCTTTAAATGTTTATTGGTATTCTTTGGTCAGGTATCATACCAAGTATTAGGGGTATAGAGATAAAATAGTCACAGCTCTTGCTCTTAACAATAGTCCAGTTGGGGAGACAAGGTTAAATGATCACACTTAAAAGGATGTAATTCAGGCCGAGCTGAATGCTCTGAAGGAAGGCACAGTCCTATAAAGATGTATGTCACAAAGAGCCTGGTGGAAACTAGAAAGCTTTGCTGAGGAGGAGATGCTCGAGCTGGACTCTGATGGATGAGTAGGAGTTCGCTGGGAAGACAGGAGATGGCATGTGCAATGACCCTGTGGCATGCCAAGTGTAGCTTGTGGAGGAATTGAAGGAAACCACTATAGCCCAGAAGGCAAGCTGGAGAGTAGTGGGGGGTGGGTTTTTTTTCATTTGTTTTTTGGGGGGAGTGGGGGTTTGAGACAGGATATTGCTAGCCCAGGCTGGCCTAAAACTTGCAGCAATCCTCCTCCCTCTGCCTCCATCTCCAGGGTGCTGGGATTACAGGCATGCACCACCACACCCGGCTCCCATTATGGGTTTTGTGCATAACTGATTTCAGGCCACTGTGATAGAAGGGTGCTGTGCAACAGAACTTTCTGTGTTGGTGCAAATGGGCTGTGGAGCAGCCCCAAGTGGCTTTTGAGCATTTGCAGCATGTCTGGTATGACTGAGGGCCTGAGGTTTTGTTTGTTTGTTTTGAGACGGTCTTGCTATGCAGTTCAGGCTGGTCTTGAGCTCACTTTGTAGCCCAGGCTGGTCTTGAACTCGAAGTGATCCTCCTGCCTCAGCCTCCTGAGTGCTGGTATTAAAGGCATGCACCACCACACCCAGCTGAGTTTTTAAATTTTAACTTAAATGTAAGTAGCCTTACATGGCTAGTGGCCTCTGGGTGAGGCAGTGCAGGTCTGGCACACATTGGAAGAAGTAGCTGCCCCCCTCCCACACCTTGTCCCTTTGTAAACACAGGCAGAGACAGTTTCCAGTTCCAAGAGAATCCTAATTGGGGGCTGGGGATTTAGCTCAGCGGCAAAAGCGCCTGCCTGGCAAGCGCAAGGTCGTGAGTTCGGTTCCCGGTACTGGAGAAAAACCAAAAAAAAAAAAAAAAAAGAGAGAGAATCCTAATTACTATTTTTCCTTACTAACTTTTTGTGGAATTTCCAGTATTTTCTTGGCTTAGTATAACCTGCTTCGTGAAGCAGCATTCCTTTTCCTGGCTTCCCATTTCGTTGTCAGCACACGGATCGAGGACGTCATAGCCTCAGCAAATTTCACTACCTGCAGTGACCACATTCCATGTCAGACGCCTTAGGAGGGATGCAGAAATAGTATGGTCCTCACTGGGATGTAGCTCGATGGGAAAGCCTGTGGTCAGTATAGGCAAGGCCCTGGGTTCGATCACCAGCACCAAAAAGGAAAAGTGTGTACAGGTACAGTGGTACTGGCCTCTTAATTCCAGCTACTCAGTAGGTTGAGGCAGGAGAATCACAGGTTCGAGGCCAGCCTAGGCCAATTAGCAACACCCTGTCTCAAATTAAATTTTGAAAAATACTGGGAATTGCTTAATGGCAAAGCAAGCACAGAGGCCTGGGTTCTGTCCCCAGTGTCACAGAAGGGCAGAAGGTACCTGATGTTGGGAACTAGAATCCATCAAGGGAGGCATCAGTAAGTTCTGTGAAATGACAAGAAGGAGCATTTTCAGTGGGAGCCGCCTTCCACGTCACAGTCTGGCTGAAAGGCGGATTTCCAGCTTGGGAGAGTGTTTCCTGGTGCTAACAGCTTTAAATGATCAGACTTGGTAAAGTAGGATAAAAACTGATGAAGTGTACTTTCTTTGCAGGTCAGTTTCCTGGAAGATTTATATGTGTGCTCCATGAAAATCTGGTTTCATTTCTGCTGGTTCTGTGTCACTGTTTTGGCTTAGGGCCTTCCAGGTTGGTTATTTGGTTGGTTTCTTTCCTTCTTTCCTTGAGACAGTGTCTCACTGTGTAGTCCAGGCTCGCTTTAAACTCATGTGGCCCAGGCTGGCATTAGACCCACAGCGATCCTCTTGTCTCAGCATCCAAAGTGCTAAGATTACAGTGTGCACCACTGCGCCTGGCTTAGTTTAATTCTTCACCATGTGCTTTTGAGTGTTGGCTTTCTGGAGGCTGTGTTAAATGCATATAAATAAATGGAGTCCAACCCCAAGGTTTGTTCACTTTGGTTCCTAAGCCCTGTGGCTGTGTGTGTGTGTGTGGCCTCCACTGCTGGGATACACACACAGTGGCACTGTTTCCAGCTGCTTTGGAGAGTGACTTAGCCACCCACACATCCCGCAGTATGGGCCCTGGAGGCACTCTGTCCTCAAGAGCTGTTGGGAGATGGCGTTGCACACGGATAGATGGCCGAGGTCCCTGGGACCCCCGAAAAGGGGGTGGCCCCCATGCTTCGGGGTGGTATTAATGTGTCCCTTTGGCTAGCAGCTGCCAGGAAGGGACGATTCCTCTTGAACCTGGTCCCCCTGTGCTGCAGCGTGGGTACTGGAAGCTGCCCTGCTTCCTCGAGTGCATTTCTAACTCCACACGGGCCTCTTGCTTCAGCTTGCTGGCCCGTGGCCCAGTGTCACCAGGTGACCGCCAGCCTTGCCTGCTGCAGGGATAAGCTACTCCCTCCCTTTGGGACTTTAGGGCAATGGCTCTTTGGTGCCGGTCGTCTTCGTGCTGCCTCAGCGCCGTCCCTGTAACTTAGTCCCTCTCCACCCCTGGCCCAGGGGCCTCAGCAGGAGCAGGACCACTTCCACACCCCGTTTCACACACATCTGAGGGAACGCTGTTGTGACCATGATTGCGGACACTTGGCATCAGCACTCTTGGTCACTTAGGTGAGTAAAGCAGACGTGCCTCCGCCAGCCTGGGTCTTGGCTGTCTTGTTTCTGGCTCTGCCCGTAGTGCAGACTTCACAACCACTTGATGCCATCCGTGACAGTGGGGCGGAAAGGCTGCCTTGGGTGTCCGGCCTTGCTGGGTGCAGTACCTGCCGGTCCTCCCTTGCATTCCCCTTTCTAGGTGTGTCCGCTCAGCCTCTTGGCTGTATGGCATCTCCCAGCTGCATCTCATCTAGCCTGACTCTGCCCCAGGCAAGGACACTTAGGTAGGTTAACGGTTGGCCCGCAGCTCAGGGACCTTTGTAGAGGGGAGGCCTGGCCCCTAGGAGGCTTCCGAGCATAGCAGCGCTTGTGTTCAGATGGCACAGAGGGGCTCAGCACGGGTTACAGAGGGCCTGTCTGGGTTTAGGTCCTAATCACGTGCTTTTGAGTGCTGACCTGCTGGAGGCTGTTTTAAATTGTGTAACCCATAAGCACCTACAATTTCCACATGGGTTTTAAATCCATGCCCCTGGTCGGAGATAATAGCTCAGTGGCATAAGCGCCTGCCTGGCAAGCACAAGGTCCTGAGTTTGATTCCTGGTACAAAATAAAAAACATCCCCAAGACCCACCTGCTGTGAGACTGGTAAGTCACTTCCCTGTTTGGGCCTTGATGCGGTTAAGTGGGGAGGGTGACAGTGCAGGTGACTCCCAGGAGGGGTGCTTCTGAGGGTGTGGTGAGCAGATCCCTCAAAGTGCTCAGGATGGGGCCTGGCTCCGCAGGTGCTCCAGACATGCTCTTGGCATGGCTTTCAGTGTTTGTGGCTGTGAGATTCTCTGGGTGCTGTCATTTGGGAGAGTCCTGGGGTCTTCATGGGCACTATTGTGCTGTTGTCAGCAGGAAAGTTCCCATGAGCCACCAGGGCTGGTCGCTGTGCTGAGCTGCTGCAGGCTGCTGGGTTTTCCCTGCAGCAGGTACCCACGGCCTCTGCCCACCTGACTAGAGGAAGAACATGTGCTAATTGCTTAAATCACCTAAAGGTTGAGATGTGCTACTGAGAAGAACTATTGGTGTTTCTGGACTAGACCTCTGAGGGCCAGGTTGGGACTGATCCCAGCTATGAAGTTGTTCCTCCGGGTTGGTAAGCGGGTGGAAGTGGGTGGACATCCCATCTTCACAAGGGAATAAATCTGCAGTGGTAAGAATGGATCATGAAATCTGGGGGTGCTTTTAAAGGTTAAAGATCACCATGGGGCACCCAAGGCATGTATCACAAAGTACAAAAGCGCAGCTACAGAAAGGTTCCAAGTCAGGAGTTTGAACTTCTCTCTTTGTCCACTAGAGGGTGTAATCCTACACCAGATGGCTCTTCGGTAACTTGCTGCACAGTGTGGGTTTGATTTTTTTGCTTAAAAAAATTTTTTTTCAAGACGGTTTTTCAGCAGAAAGTTATGCGGAAGATTCATCAGCAGGGTGGGGCTCTTGCCGAGGAATCTGTCAGCGGGTCCCAGTTGTGCTGAGTTCCTGGGAAGTGCTTACCAGGTCATGAAGCAGCCGGAGGCAGCCTGGGCACGTGCATTTGGGGAGGACACACTCTAATTCATCTCCGTGCAGAGCCACTCCCAGTGCCAGCTGGCCGGTGAATCACCCAGAGGGTTTTCCTGCTGAGGAATCCAGGGCCATACACAGCAGTATGTGAAGTCCCACCTGGTGGGTTAAGGGTTTAAAAGTATCTGGCAAAGAACAGTGCTCCTACCTGAAACTGAAAGGTGCATGTCAAGACCGAACAAAGTTCATGCAGAACCACTGTGGTTTAGAATGCTAACGGTTTTCACTAGGAAAGTGCTGTGGAATAGGCAAAAAAGTAAGTACTGTATGTCTTCCGAGCCAGGCGAACAGCTGTCTGGTGGAGTAAGCAAATGTTTAATGGAGCACTTACTGCTGGCTGCTTTAGATGACAGCCTGAGCAAAATAGATGAACTGGCTGCCCTCAAGGAACTACTGTTCCAGCACAGGGAAGATGCAAAATAAGTCAGAATATAGAGGTAAAGAAAGCAAGTAGGCTAGGAAGAGTGGGCAATGGAATTTGCAGTATTAGTGTGACTAGCAAACCACCCAGGGAGGTGACCTTTAGCAGAATCCCAAGGTCAGGAAACGAGAAGGAGAGGAAGAGCCCTGCGTGCAGGCAGCCTGTACACTGGGCCACCCACACAAAGGATTTTGGGGGCTGCCGGGGGTGGTGGTAGGGACTTACGGGTAGAGGAAAGTGGGGGCACCCCAAGCCCATTGAGCAGGCCCCAGGTCCTACGTGGGGGACACCCTTTCTCTTGGCAGCTGTAGGAGCTCCTTCCTGACCCATGAGATGCAGGACGTGGAAAGTGGCTTGTGCGTGTGACAGGGAGGGGTCCTGGGACAGCTGATGCCACGTCACAGCCTCTGCCTTTACTGTGTCCGTGAAGCCACAGAGACTCGGTCTCCATCGCAGAGCTCCGGCCCTGTCTTGTCATTTTGCCCATTTCTACCTCTATGGCAGCCCCAAGGATAGGAAGCCTGTACATGTTTCATTTGTCAGCAAAGAATAGATTTGTTTCATCTAAGCCGTTATTTAAATTGCCAACAGGAAGACTATAAACAGTGCGTTCTTCTATGAGCTTTACAAGTGGAAGCCTGTTTGGGCTTCACATGGTTCACATAGAACAGTTACTTGTGTTTTCTTTGTTTTGTTTTGTTTTGTTTTTTTTTTGGTTTTTCTCTGGTACCAGGAATCGAACTCACGACCTTTCACTTGCCAGGCAGGCTCTGTGCCACTGAGCTAAATCCCCAGCCCCTTTCTTTCTAGATCAATTATGCAGCTACAGCAGGAAACTAGTTCTGTTATTGTAAATGTAATTAAAGTCCATCTGAGTAAGTCGTTGGAAGGTCACTTGTCTCCAGACTGTCAGCTGTGGACGGTTATGTAATGGTTATGCAATGCTGTCAGACCACAGCCACCGCCAGTAAGACACTTCGATTATTGTATTGAGTCAACACAAGACTGCTACTTCTTTCAACAGTAAATCCCTTCCTAACCAAACGAAGACTTGGATCTTTAACGCTAGTTTCCGCTAGAGGCTCACTCAGTTAGCCATAGTCTACCCTCTGTGCAGGCTATCCCAGTGTCTTAGCTTTTTTAAGTCAGATTTGTGACATGAGCCTAGTGGAAAATTTCAGGGGCTGGGTGTAGTGGTGCAGGCCTGCAATCCCAGCACTTGGGAGGCTGAGGCAGGAGGATTGCTATGAGTTTGAGGCCAGCCTGGGGCACAAAGCGTAAACTACATAGTGAAATTCTGTCTCAAAAAGAAAAAAAAAGGCCGGGCGTGGTGGCACACGCCTGTAATCCCAGCACTCGGGAGGTTGAGGCAGGAGGATCATTGCAAGTTCAAGCCCAGCCTGGGCTACAAAGTGAGCTTAAGGCCAGCCTGAACTGCA